GGGGGGGGGGGCAGCCATGCCCATGACACTGGTCACAGCCACCATCATCCAGTAGTAGAAGCCTAGGCAGGCCCAGCAGCAGAGCTCCAAGGAGCAGGGATGCAGGCTCTGGATGGCCATGACCACCAGCCTGTTGGCCATCTTATCCAAGAAGCTCATGGCACCATACACGAAGGGTCTGCTGTGTGTGTGGGGGCCGATGAGATCGGCCGTCATGGCCACAAGGTGAGGAGGACTGTGGCACAGCCCGTGCCCAGCAGAAACCTCAACTATAAAACCATAGTGCAACTTAATGGTAAATTTTAAGACTCTAGTTTCTTCTATCATCTATTCAGGTTTCTAAGTCTTCTTGGGTCAAATTTTGAGAATTATTATTTATTAGAATTAAGGGATTTAGACTAAAATCTGTCTCCAAGTTTACACGTAACATTTTGTATTGCTTTCCCAACAGGAAGTATAATTGGAATTATACGATTTTTGTGTTTTCTAATATTGCATAGTTTGGATTGTCCCTCATTTAGAATCGACAGTGGTTTAGTTCTTTCACTGATCTTTTTAAGGAACTAGCTTTTTGATCTAATTTATTCTTTTTTTGTTGGTCTTTGGTTTATATTTAATTTTTCTCGTTCTATCGATTGTTCTCTGATTTTCTAGTTCCGTGATTTTTCACATAATTCTAGATCATCTTTCAAAATAGAAATCATTTATGTATTTAATATGTATCCCAAGGTTTACAACCATGCCTGGCACATGGCATGCTCTCAAATAAATATTTGTGGAATGAATGAATGAGTGGATTTTATAGCATAATCAAAAAACAAATCTTGACAGGAGCTTTAAGAGAAAAAACAGTTTCAATATACATATTTTATAAGAGAATTTTAGGGTACTTACCCTTTCCAGAGTGAATGTCCTAACTACATATTCAGCAAGTGGTTCCATTTCCACACAAGTGACTTTGAAATCACCATAAACTTCAGTATCATCAGGCCAATACTTATAGCATTTAACCTAAATGACAAAAAGGGTATATAGGTGGACCTGAGTACACGTTAACCAAGATGATTTAATTTCAGTGGTCACTCTTTAGGTTACAGTAAAAATACGGTTAAAAAAACCATAGATGAGATAAAAGAATCTATTACACAATAAATAGAAAAACTTGCTGCAGTCTCTTTACAATATATAGCCCAATGATGCAATCAGAATCTAGTATAAAATCAAAGTTTCTTTTATTACTCAATAAGAAATCAAATAATTTCTCAGCCATCAAAGATCCACTTAGGAGCACTCATTTGAAATGCTATGCCTACAACATTTTAAAACAATTAAATGAGATTCTAAGTGTTTTATGTTTGGCTACTCAACTTACACTCATGTTTTGTGAAACAAGAAAAAAAAATCTTTTTTTCTCTTACCCGGCCAACCTCAACTAAATTTGTAACCATCACAATGCAGGCAGACTGTTCTTGCCAGATCATTCTCCAGAAATCATATACTGTTTCATGAACTGGGCCTTTGAAGAAATTAATTTGAATATTATGTTATCAGATAAATTTTGTAGTTAGAAAAAGTAAGTGGTAAGAAGTATATATATATATATACATAAAGTAAAAATCAGAATAAACTAAATAAACAATAAAAACATATTAAAGGTCTAACACAAAAAGGTGTCGAAATTACTTAAATTCATTCTGTATCTAAATTCACACTATAGCAAAAACAGGCATATACCACCCCTTTTTTTTTTTCAATTTGCCTTTTATACTTTCCATTCAGAAGAAGTTATCACTAGTTTTTAGGTTATTTATATCTGCCACTAAGTTAGTTTGATGCATCTTCAAACATATGTAAAAAATAGGAAGTCTTACATGACCATCTACTAAACAGCATATATGAAATATATGAAATATATTTCCAATGAAATATATCCACATCATTTATGAAGCAGTGCATGTTTAGGGATTAATGAAGAAACATCCATACTTATAAGCAAACATCCCAACCTTATATTATCACCTCCAGACTGCAAAAGCACCTACTGGGTTATACTCTACTCAGTGCCATTAAAACAAAACGGGGTATCCTGGGTGGCTCAATCGGTTGGGCGCCCGATTTTGGCTCAGGGCATGTTCTCGCTGTATGTGGGTTTGAGCCCCACGTTGGGCCCTGTGCTGACAGCACAGTCTGGAGCCTGCTTTGGTTCTATGTCTCCCCCTCTCTCTGCCCCTCCCCCACTCACGCTCTGTCTCTCTCTCTCTCTCTCTCTCAAAAATAAACATACATAATTAAAAAAAATTAAAACAAATCAAAAAATCCCCACAAAACTAGAATACTGTCCACCACGGATGATCTTTCTAACTTTCAAGAGCTTACAATTCAACTCAATTAATGCAAAGATATGTGGAAAAACTTAGAAAATGACCTCTGTCAAAAGAGCAAACATAGCTTTTGTTTTACTTCCCTCTTTTAAGAAATAAATAACTGTGCAGGTTTATGATGGACAGTGGTCAATATGGAGAGATAACTAAAGGTGTTTTAGGATGCTCTTATTCCCCAGTGTGCCACTGTAACAAGATTTCTCTGCCTTTTTGTATTTTCTACATAGAATGAACGTGACGAAGTTCCCTTTAGCCCTTAGTTTTCTCTCTGTCTTAGCTTGTAAAACTTTGCTGGAAGAGAGTCTAACATCTCATTATAACAATATCAGTCTTGGGTACTACTCCATTCCAGCCACAGACTATGCCACACACACACACACACACACACACACACACACACACAC